AAAAGATTGAAGATTGTACGGGGGGTGAAAGTGTTAAACTGGCTCAGATCCTAATTAAAATAAACTTAGAAGTTGTTTGACCTTGTTTTCGCAACATGGTCGTATTGGTAGGAAGACTTAAAGGAACACACCTAGTCCGGAGTCCATTGCCTGCATAATTATTTTCAAAGTTGAACCGTGGACGTGGTACATTCTCAAACGTTTCGCCGGCGTCGTAGTCGGCATCTTCAGTAAGTATCGCCATTCTTAGCACCACACAACAACCTGTCAGAGACAAGTGAACCACATACTTTGACCAAACGTGTGCTAAACAATTTTGGTATCTCCCCTTCTGCCCTGGGTTATTCGCATTTCCGATAGCATTCTATCATGCCTTCACTATTACAATTTTTAAGGTGCTAAGAATGGTGATACTCACTGACAATGCCGGCGAAACGATTGGGAATGTACCACTTCCACGGTTCAACCTTGGAAATGATGATGCATACAATGGACTCCGGACAGGCTGCGTTCCTCTAAGTCTTCCTACCAATGTGACCAAGTTGCAAAAACAAAGTCAAACAACTTCTATACAACGAAAGGAGACTGCAACCACACAATAGGCCACACCATCTTGGTCCTCATACCTTCGATTAAAATAAACTTTATTTGGCCACTAGATAGAATGTGTGGGAGGGAGCAGGATGAACCAGAGTTAGACTTCTAAAGTCCCAAGCAATCTATAGGCTTGGGTGCATTTGCTAATGTGCAACCATGACCAAGAGTGATAACAACACTATTGGCGTGGGTTGATCTCGTTGTCGCAACTTGGTCTTGTTCTCAGGGCAACTTAGTAGAATACACCTAGTCCGAAGTCGTCTGCAATAGTATTTGTCATGATTCCCAGACAAGTCTTGTCTCTTTGACGAGTTCATAGTTTGGTGCGGAGAATGGCAAAACTCACTGATGATGCCGACTATGATGCAGTCGAAACGTTTTAGAATGTACCAAGTCCACTGTCTGATTATGGGAGTCATGACAACTTCGGACTAGGTGCGTTCTACTAAGTCGCCCTGACAACAAGACCAAGTTGGGACGAGGTCAGTCTATGTCTATCAATCGAAAGGAGACTGCGACCATTCCAGAGGCCACAACATCTTTCTCTTCATATATTCGACACTATAGGTGATTAATCTGTTTTCCATCCCATTTGACCTCAAAACTACGGTGGTCCTCAAGAAGGGATTAAATTTTGCACTTTGCAATGAAAAGAAGGCAATCAAGAACATTTTAGTGAAGGTTATAAAGAAGTCTGAAAGCCTATTTGAATAATCAAAAAGAGCTGGCGATGGAAGTGATCCAAGCAATCTTGGAGCATCAAGAACCCACGAACAGAAACGATAAAACAAAGATATATAGAAAATTAAATAGAAACGATCAACTAATTCTAATACCCGACAAAGATGGTGCTACAGTAGAGACATAAAGAAATATCCAGAGAAAATGAAAAATATTATCGAAAGCACAACTTATAGATTACTACCGAAAGACCCGACAGTTAAACTCAAAGGAGCACTGCAAGGAATGCTTAAAGAAATGAATATGAACCGGAAATGCGACAAATTGACAATGAATTCACTCTTATTAAAGGATGCAAGAGTTCCAATACCATATGATTAGTCGAAAGTATTCGAATAAGGAGAATCATTGAGACTGATCGTCGGAGCGATATATACACTGGGGAAATTTATCCGCCTTATGTAAAAGGTAAATGACAAATTATTGAATACAGTGAAAGATGCATTCGAATTATGCCAAAATATCAAAACCATCAGTTTGGAGGAAAACTAACTTTTGGTGAGCCCTGATGAACAGTACATGTACACAAACATCTCAGGAGAAAAAGCACTCATCGCATTACTGGGGATCTTGGAAAGAAAAAACGGCATCCTGGAGAAGGGGCGAATTCGAAAAGAGTCTGTAACCAGATTAATCAATCTAACAATAAGAACCAACTATCTCATGAAGTGGGTTGACCTCGTTGCCGCAACTTGGTCTTGTTGTCAGGGCAGCTTAGTAGAACGCACCTAGTCCGAAGTCGTCTGCCATAGTAGTTGTCATTCTAAAACGTTTCGCCGGAATCGTAGTCGGCATCTTCAGTGAGTTTTGCCATTCGCCGCAACAAGCTACGAACTCGTCAAAGAGACAAGTGAAGTCAATCCCTCGACAACCGTTCTGCCGGAAACGGTTACGCTATCAATCCTCTTGCTATCAATGTCTATCTATCTACTCTTTACCCTCTTATCCCACTGCCGCACTATCACAACTTCTCACTTGTTTACATTCAACTCGTCAAAATGTGTGCCATTTTGTGGCAAAGCTAGTATGGCCTCATCACACTTGCTATTCACCCCGACCCCTTCTCTTTCGATCGCTGATCCGACTCGGGCCCCCAATCCGGATCCCTTAATTTTCTCGTAGATCCGTTCCTTCTCTTTCTGGTTTACCGATTTCACTCGGGTCCAGTCCCAGTGTGCATTTCACTCCAGGCGCTATTTCTCAAGGTCCTAGAAGCACGTTAACTGCTGATTCGCTGACCAGATCGTCTAAGCTCTGATTACCATACTTCCAGATATCAGACCTTCCCTTCACGGGTCCTCTCCTTCATTAAACCCATCTTATCTGAGCAAACTGTGGACGCCTATCTCTGGTCACCTGCGGCATCTCAAGTGGATTTCTTGTACATTTTTGGCCATAACGCCGAATTTCCGTGACGATTTGCTTATCCGTCTGCCCCGCTCCCTGACGGCCAGGCCCCCAAAGTTGTGCTGACGACGTCTTCACTTGATTGCCGAAAACGCCCGCCCCCCTTTTCTTCAACACGATCTCTTTTTCTCCGGTTAGCGGTAGATTCTTGATCGAGGCGCCTCCTTTTTGCTGGTCTTGCTCTATTCTTGTTTTCTTCGAGTTTGCTTAGGCAGTAGACAAAGTTATCGCTAAGTCTACCTTCTTTCAATCCCATGTTCACCATATTTTTTTCATCAATTATGTCAATGGCCTCCCCAAGCTTCCGCATCTTTGTGTTTTATTTATGTTGCCTGCCAATTGATCTCATGTCCAGTCTGTGCGGTTGTATGCCGCAAATGCTGATCTTTTGATATCCATTTTCCTACATTTCCCTTTATTCGTATGCTAATTTTTCTTGCAGTTTCGCCAATATATTTCTGTTCGCAGGCGCCGCATGATATACAGTAAACTCCTGAAAAATCCTATTTGTCCACCCTTTCATGTTGCGTCGGTAGACTTGAGAAAAGTGTTGATTTCATTTTCATGCCCCCAACTATTCAATTTCCTCAA